GGGAAAGGAGTTCCAAAACAGCACTCCTTTCCCAAGCCATGGAAAGGGTGTCGCAAGAGCCACCATGCAGCTCTTTCGCACCTCTTCCAGCTCAGCATGTAAAAATGCTTCACCGGAAGGATGTCATCGGAGTGCTCGCTGTGTGCAATGGCAGGTGCTCCAATGATGTTCTTGGGAAGGGGTTGGGGCAGCTGGTGGCTGGCTGCCCCACCTTCCCTGTCTCCAAGGTGGCACTTTGCACTGTCTGCACAATCCCTTAGTTTCATTAACAGTAGTGCAATTCTAAAGCACTGTGTTTAGAATATGTTATAATATGGACTGCTTTTTCAGTCAATGAGCTACCCATCCTATTTTGGGGGGACTTCAGGGAGAAGCAGGTGGCACGGGGCTGCCCCGAGAAGCTGCAGATCGGGACCAAGGTATCCGCACTCCTTGGCCCTGCGGCGCAGCATCCCAAGCCCAGGAAGGAGCGCTAAAATAGTGCTCCTTCTGCAAAACGCTGAAGGTGCTCCGCAAAAGGCCTTCGGTACACCTTCGGTACACCTTCGGCACCTTTTCCGCTGCAGTGTGTGTGGACGCTGCAGCAGAAGTGCATCATTGGAGCGCGAGCCATGCAGAGGGCTGGCCCCTCCGACAACGTTTTCAGGAAGGGGTTGAGGCGCCCAGCGTGAGGCTGCCCCTCCCCTTCCTGGCCTCGAAAATTGCGCTTTGTGCCATCTGCTCAGGCCCTTAATTCAACTCCCCTCCATACTCCCTGATTTCTTCTCTAGCCCCTTTCCACTCACCACAGTCAGTCAGAATTCACTGAACATGATCAAGTGTGTATGTATGATCCCCAATCACTCACTTAGAGCACACCTTGGAGTCTTGAGATTTCCTGCATAGCACTAATTGACTATTGAAGGAACCACACTTGCAGGATGAATTCAATGTTATTGGAAATTATTGTTATTATTTGCTTTTCCAACATGGAAGAAGGAGAGATGCTAGTGTTAACTCCTTGATCAGGAGCTAAAAGAATTTGATCAGGTGTGCATGTTTCTTGGACTGGAATGTGGGCTTTGCTAATCTAATACAGGAATAAAAATGCTTTGTGCTTGCCTTACTAAAGAGCTATCACAGTTCAATAACCACCTTTTTTTTTGGATACCTGACTGGGGCCCTCTACAGATGGGTGGCTCTGGGCCACCCTGGGAAGTGGCGGACTGGGGCCACAGCAACCCCACACCGTGGTCCCAATCCTCCCTTTTGATGCCTCGAAAAGAGCAGCAAAATTCCACTCCTTTTAAGGGTGGCAAAAGGCCACACTAAAATCCGGTGCCACAGCTCTTCAGTACCCTTTCGATGCAACATGTTTGAACTATAGAGGCCCAGAGTCTGAAAAACATCTGAAAGCCTGTAAAGTTCCTAAGCACCCATTATATACAGCTGATGCACTTTAACTTGGTGATTCTGAGACTATGAAGGCTTTCTCTGAAAATGAATAAAAAGCACTCAATGTAGAGAAAATGGAGCAGATGATAGAATCATAGAATTGAAAGAGACCACAAGAGCCATCCTGTCCTCTGATGGGAGGGTATTCCTGGGGTGCAGCAGTAGAGGAAGCTTTCTCCTGCATCCTCCCACTTTCTTTTGTCTTGACTGATGGAATACAGAGGCAAGTCCCTCCAGCAGTTTCCATATGGATCAAGGAAAGTTACAATGTTGCAGCATCTACTTTTTTGCTCTGAGATGTTACAGGAATGGCTAATCCATGTAAAATTGTATTTAAGAATTAGTTGCAGCTAATTAAAAGGATGTGAAAGATTCAAATATGACTTATTCTCTCATAGGAGACACTGTCCTTCACTACCTCATAAAAAGTTCACAGCTGTGTTGGCTAAAGGGGCTAAGCAGACTGGCAGCCATGGGCTGCCCTGGGAAGGTGCGCCGCGGGACCAAGGCATCCCCATGTCTTGATCCTGCAGCGCAGCTACGCCATCCCTGAAAGGAGCGCTAAAATAGTGCTCCTTTCACAAGTCAGCAAAAGTGAGCCTCAAAAGCTTGTGGTGTACTTTCGCTGACTTTTCTGCCGCAGCATGTCCGGACGCTGTGGCGGGAGGTCCTCCTTGGAGCGTCAGCTGTGCGGAGGGCCAGCGGCTCCGAGGACGACCGCGGGAGAGGGATGGGGTGCCGAGCGTGTGGCTGCCCCTACCCTTCCCTGCCTCCAAGACGGCTCTGTCGTCTGCCAAGGCCCACAGTCTTCTGAGACAATGTTCTGCTGGTGAACAAAACAGAATAGTGTTAGCAGAAATCTATGTTGACAGCGTTTCATTAGTCAAGATGATAGCCTATGGAAATGCATTAAAATATCAAAATATGTCTGTAATGATAGTGTGATGATGTCAAGATATTGTGATACATTAAGGAAATATGATAGATTGCCAAAGATAGAATTATGTAAATATTTCACTAACATTTAATATATGTTTTATCAGCTTGGGGCCAATACCCTAACCCAACAAACCCACAGAGCTGGAGTATTTCTGCAAATGTAATATGACTATACTTGGAATCAAAGAATCTGAGAGTTGGAAGAGACCACAAGGGCCATCCAATCCAACCCCCTGACATGCAGGAAATCCCCTTGCTAAATGTCACATTGCTTTTCCTGTAGCTGTAATTGACATCTGATTGGCCTGGTGTTTTGGGTTCTGAACACAAATTTCCTCACCCACTTTCACCATTTATTTAAATTTAAAAAGTTTTTGTTTTGTCTGGTTCACTGCATTCTGCTGTCATTCATAATGCATATGTGAAGCCTATGTGAAAGGTGGTATTTGTCTGTCTGTGAAGGAAGACCCCACTTATCTAGTGGGTTAGGGACTGAAGCACTGTCAAAAGTGGAATCTGTTGAAAAGCAGAACCAATCTTTTTAAACTTGCAGATGGAAGACTGAACACTAGATGGTGCCAAGTTGAATGAAAGTAAAACATGTAAGGAGTGGTCTAGAGGTCAAACCAGGAGTCAAAAGAGTGGTACAGGACTATAATGTAGATCTGTCAAGACTATGGAACATCCCAAAATTAGGGTGTCTATTTATGTGCCTATATGTGACTAAAGAGAAAATACTCCAAGTCTGAAATAGCTGCCATGCTCAGGAGTATCTAGTATTTGTTTTCCTAGGTTGCTATACTATTAAGAGTGAGTATGGGGTAGTGAGAGCATTAGACTGAAACTTGAGATAGTCAGGCTCAAGTCCCCAGTGGGCCATGAAACTCATTTTGTGGCCTTGGGCCACTCTCAGTTTCTTAGGGATAGAAGGAATATTAAAAATATTTCAAAAAAAGATCAAAAATATGTTTTTCAAGTGTTGGGCAAACCTGAAAAGGAGAATTCTGGACTTCAGTTCAAGACTTATTTTGCCCCAAATCACTATTTCATTAGGAAAAAAATCATTTTCTGTGCAAAAAATAACATTTTCTCATAGAAATAATATTACTGCACAGAAATATTAATTTGTGGACTGAAATGTTGTTTCTTGCACAGGGAATTCTGTTCCATTTACAAAAGATGATGATGAATAAATTATATGTAGAATAAGTCTTGAACTGTAACTGATCTTTGGAAATTGTTCCATTTTTGAAGTCTTTCTCACAGAAGGAAGAAACTTGCTAAAATTTCAAATCCTTTCCTTCAAGAACAAAATTAATGAAGAATTATGCACCCAAAACCACTTGGCCGAACCTATTACATGGGCTTGTGTCTATGAGTATTTGAGTGTCATTGCTATCCAAGGCACAACAACAAAGCTGAAGAGTAATTAAGACAGCCATATCATGTCAACCCTCTTCACTGTGTAGTCACATGGCTGAAACCTGACAACTGCTTTTTTCACTGCACATCTCTGGTGAGAGGGATCTGGTTGAGTCACTGTTCTGTGCTTTACCCCCCCCCCCCAGGACCTCAGGACCCCTTCTGCTGTTGGAGCTCCCTGGTTTCTAGGGTGGATTCTGGGGATGGCATCTGTAGTCATTGCAATGGTGTCATATTTAGAAATGTGAACTGCAGTATTTAAAATATTGTAAGTCTGCTTGTGACATCATAAATACCTAACATAATCACTGTTGTGGTTGTGTGCCTTCAAATCAGTTATGACAACTCTAAGGTGAACCTTAGGAGCCCTGGTGATGCAGTGGTTAAATGCCTGTACTGCAGCCACCCACTCAGAGACCACAAGGTTGTGAGTTCAATATGAGCCAGGGCTCAGGCTAGACTCAGGCCTGCATCTTTCTGAGGTCACTAAAATGAGTACCCAATTGTCTGGGGGGCAATGAGCTTACAGTTGTAAGTTGCTTAGACATCCCATAGCACAATATGAAGCGGTACATAAATGAAGCTGCTTTGCTTTGCTTTGAACCTGTGATGGAGTTTTCTTGGCAGAGTTTTTTTAGAGGGAGTTTGTCCTTGCCTTCTTCTGAGGCTGTGAATTGCCCGAGGCTTAGATGAATTAAATAATATAGTGCCAGATATAATCATTCACTAATGTCCCTAATTATCCTTCCTCCACTTCTCATTACGTTTTAGGGCCTTGTGTCCTCAGCTCTATCCTCCCATTTATCTACTTTTTCTTCTTCCTGACTACTAGCTATTCTGCAATTTATCTCTCATTCATCTCTACTCAGTGTTGTGCATAGGTATTCTGTTTACCAAAACTGTTTTCTTCAAAGAAAATTGGTTTCCTTCCCAGAAAAGACTATTTCCTGTGCTGGAAAACCATTTTTGAATAGGAAAACTTTGTTTTGTCCCCTCCCCCAACTGTTTTTTTTTTCAGAATAATTTCTGCACTGCACTTCAGGACATTGAATGTTGTTGTTGTGTCCCTTTATGTTGTTTGCAACTTATAGCCACCTTAAGGTGAAATCCACTGGGTAGATAAGGTGAACCTTAAGGTAAACCTTTCAAAGGATTTTGTGGGGCTGAGGGTTTGTGACTTACCAAGATCACCCCGTGAACTTCAATGGCTGAGTGGGGAATTGAACCCTAGTCTCCAGAGTCAGTCCAGAGCTCAAACCACTACACCATTCTGGCGCCCATGACTTGGTTTCCTTCCCAAAAGAAATTGAACACCAAAAGAAAATTGATATTCCAAAAGAAAATTATGCAAAATTCTCACTGGATGATTGTTCTTCCTGACAGTCACAAAACATTTTTAATTACTTAAAATTAATAATTACAAATATTATTTTATCTTCATCATCACCATTACAGCATCCAGCTGCCCTTTTTGTAAGGCATCCTTTCTTCATTTTCCTCTTAAGCTTTTTATTACACTTATTTTTGAAAGCTTCATGATGCCCCTCAGCATGCAGGTATGTCTTGACTACTGCTTTATTCATTTAATATGTTTCATTTTGTTCCTCACGTTTTCTTCAATGAACTCAAGGTGGTATACATAACTGTCCTCCTCCCAGCTTCATTTCCACAACAACTCTGTGAGCTAGACGAAGCTGAGAGATTGATGGGGGAAGCAGATGAGCGGCCCTGGGCCACCCCCAAAAGCGGAGGATCGAGGCCGAGGCTGCCGGACACCTTGGCCTCGATCATCCCTTTTGCCGCCTGCAAAAGGAGAGCTAAAATAGCGCTCCTTCTGCAAGATGAGAAAGGGGCACTGCAAGAGGTGTGGCATGCCTCTTTGGCATCTCTTCCAGCTCAGCATGTCCGAATGCTGAGCCAGAAGAATGTCATCGGAGCACCCATCGTATGGATGGGCCATCACTCCAATGACGTCCTCAGGAAGGGGATGGGGTGCCCAGCGTCCAGCTGCCCCTCCCCTTTCTGGGATTGAGGATGGTGTTTCTCACTGTCTGCATCCCCCCTGAGTAGCTCAGTATTATCATATGAGGTTTATGGTGCAGAGGGAATTTTAATCTGCATCATCCAAGTCTTAATGCAATATTTTAACCATTACATTGCAGTGCCTGTGGCATTAGCTATAAACTGTCAGTATTATCAAACTGAGTTCATCATTAGAAGGATTACCTCATTCAGGAAAGTTGCATATGACCTTTAGACCAAGTACCTCCTGGGTGAACACTTGGCTGCTCAGTTAAATCATTTGTGTCAAACAGCTGTTAAATCTTTATACACCAACGAAATGGAGGGGGAATGACTCTGTGATTTTAAGTGCACAAGACCATGTTGAGAACCATTTGCTTCATTACAAATTGATGGTGTCCATAATAGCACTTAGCAATACAGACCATATCAAACAGGGCTCAGTATCAATAGGAGTCAATACCATTGTGCTAAATAGAGTGGCACTTGAGTCAAATTATGGTCCCTTCTGTAGTATAATTATCTGCATCTATTGTGACCCTGTCCTGATCTCAATTATTTTTATGCCATGGGGTCTAGCAATATAATATGAGGCATACTGTATTTGCTCTTATAAACAAAGATAAGTAGATGCAAATAAACAGAGTAAGTAGATGTAAATGGGGTTGGGGGAAGGAAGGAGAATAATCTGTCTGTAATAGCTTTCATAGAAAAAGGAATTTTGGTCAATGAGACTTATTGTTCAAAAGAAAACTACATTGACTAAAGTTCTCTTCTCTATACAACTATTCAAGCTACAGAAACTATATTTTCCTTTATATCTACTAATTGCAGTCAGGTGATCATTCCACATGACGAAGATAACCAATTTGACTTTGACATATGCTTTGATTTTAGATAGCCAGACATATTTTCAGGGGATATGTTTAGCTTTGTGCAGACTAGCATTACATTTGGGAACATTTTTTCCATGATAGAGAGAGAGAGAGTTCACAAACTGACAAGATTTTAATAGTGCCTAATTTGTAATTACATCTCATTGTGTATGCCATACACAATTATACTTCATGCCCATTCAAAACCCAGAATGGGCTATTGTACATCATGTCAGACTATTTGTCATTGTTACCCCTTGAAAAGAACTGACTAGGCCATTGCTGACAATCAAAAGCACACACCTAATGGCATTCTGGATTCATTGTTGCACAGTTGGTGCAACTGTACAATATTCTTGTTCTTTAAATCACCACTTCTTTTTAGGAAATCCATTACATCTGTTTATAAATCTATTGCTTGCTGAGACCAATCATCAGCATCAAATATGCAATTGTTACTTTGGGTATAGAACATTGTAGCTATTCACAGCACTCCTAATTTTAGGTCAGTTTAGTGCTGGCATTATCAAAGCCAGACACTTTTGGAAAAGATTTGTAGGAAACATATTTTATGTCTCCTTTCCACCACACCTCATACAGAGAGACGCAGATATATATTTCTCAGAGCACTTTGGCATTAATCTACTGATGTAAATTCTGCATTTGCATTTTTTATGATTCTATTAATTGGTGAATTATTTTACACCAAAAGGGCAAACTGAAATAGTAAATGTAATGTTACGTTACCTGCCAAGCAGGATAAATGTCAAATACTTGTTCTGTATCTCTATAACACTCTGACCCTAGAGATGATATGTAACACAGAACCCAGTGCTTTGCAAATTAAAGGAGACCCAGTGAGTTCAACGAATGTTATTTTCAAGCAAATACACAAAAAATTGCTTCTATAAAGCTCTGTCCTATACCCACTCTAGGGACATTATCACATGGGGAGCTCTGAACAGAAGCTGGCTTTAAAGTGAAAGTGCTACCACAAAAGCAGAAGCAATTAATTAGCCGGCTTTCCCTATGTGAAAACCTACTGCGCATTTAAAAGGAGGTTACTCCGAATAGAAAGTAGGCAGAAACTGCTTCTTTTTATTTTCGGAAGATCCCAAAAAATAAAAAGAAGCAGTTTCTGACTACTTTCTGTTTGGATTAACGTGCTTTTAAATGCAACGTCGTCTGAAAATATACCCACTTTTGGGGGTTATTTTCAGTTTAAACCCCCATTTCCTCACAGGATTTCCACCGTGTGATAATGTCCTAGGAGTAAATCTCATTGAACTTAGTGGGTTTTACTTCTGAATAGTCAAACATAGTATATCACATTTAATCACTTAATATCCTTTCCTCCTTTACACAAATAACTATCACCCTTTGTCTCTCTCTCTCTCATCAGACAACATACATTCTACTGTGTGTTAAGCAAGTGTTAAAATAAATCAGCACACAATGCACTGTGAATATAATATACTATGTCTTGCTATTTTCTATTATATCTGAGTACACACTAGTGTCTAGTAAAAGGCACTAGTGGATACAGAAGATCAAATTGAAACCCCCATAATGGTGCCATTTTTATTAAAGTATTTTTCTTGTATCTCAGCTCTTTAGACACATTGCATTAAACAAAAATTATATCTGACATTTTCTAGCTTAATGTAGCTGCCACAAATCCAAAAAAGGTATTTGGATTGATGGTTGTATGGAGCGCACATATGATTCTGGGTAAACATAAATTTTAAAATGACCATTCTTGGTCTGTACAAAACACAGCAGGAGCTTACTTTTCAGACTATTAAGTCTCTCTCTTATCTTCCTCATAGTATGGCAGGCAAGACATAATTTTAAGGGGAAAAAGTTTCTACTATGTCGAACTTAAAATGATGGTGCTGGATTGCATGGGTTTTTGCATGAAAAAATTTTTTTTGAAGAGAGGGATTTTATTTACAACTGAAATAGGATTGCCACTGAATTTCACCTAAAGAAAAAAACAAACAGAATTTGGAGATTCTTGTTGTTAACTAACATCAAGTTGACTTCAACTTACAGTGACCCTATGGATAAGAGACTCCAAGGAGATTACTGCACACCAAATCCACGCTGGGATAGACACAGGTTGTAACTATCACCAACAGATTTTATCACACCGCTCAGTGCCCAGGTAGTACGCAGCCGGTATCCAACCCAGGCTTCTCTGGCAGCTTTTCAAGAATGTGAAAATCCTGTTTTTAAAAAGCTGTGGGAGAAGCCTGGGTTGGATACAGGCTGCCTACTGCCTGAGTACAAGGGAGTATGATAAGATCCATTGGTAACGGTTACAACCTGCATCTATCAAGGTGAAAATTTGATGTGTGATACCATAAAAGTATTATTGTCTTTTCTAATGACTCATGTCTTCCATAGTCTTTAACAGGTCTTGCAAGTTCAGAGCTGTGTTTTCCTTGGTTGAATCTACTCATCTCTAATGTGGTCCTTCTCTTTTCCTACTGCTTTCTACCTTAAAAAGTATTATTGTCTTTTCTAATGACTCATGTCTTTTCATGATGTGGCCAAAATACAACAGTCTCAGTTTAGTCATCTTGGCTTACAGTGACAGTTCAGGCTTGATTTGCTGTAGGATCTTTTTGCACCAGTACAAAGGACAAGTGACGCCTCTTTTTTGGGTATAAGCAGGTCACAACTTTTATTTTGCTGCACAGGGTCTCTTCACAAATACAATTACAATCAAACACAAAATACTTTGTCACATGTGTATGTGAAGGTGTAACCAACCCAAGTGAGTGGTCCTTCACGTCATGTGACAAAGGATATAAATAAATAACAACAATTAACTTTGTCCCTCCCAACCGGAACTGACATCATATTTACTTATATGATGTAACTAATTTAATGACGTCCTATTCTTAATAGCTGACGTCATTACCCCAATTTTAATTTTAGCCTAATTGGCCCCAATTAATTTTAGTTAGCCAATTATTTCCCTGTGGGGAGGGGGTTGTTACCCGCCTCAACTACAAATACAATCATAGGTTTAATTGAGACCCTGTATCCCCAAGTTGTGACAAAGTGTCAATTCAAATATAAAACCCATCAACTTTCCATAGAAAACAGTAATCACAAATGCTTGACAATTAACTAAAAGAAAAATTGCTTCCCCATATAAAACCTGTACCCAACCAACTATTAACAAACTAATCTCAGGAAGGGCGAAAAACCCAGGGAAACAGCCCTGGGGAAAAATTCCCTCCCGGCCCCCGAAGGTGACCAGCTAAAGCCTGAGAGTAACCTACACAAAGCCCTAAACTTAGGGTGGGCGGGTTGGGTTGCTCAGCTGCTGCTCTAAAATGGCTGCTGCCACGTGGCAGCGCAGAG